TGTCCCCCCGCCATTTCCCCCCAACAGACCCCAGTGTGTAGTGCTCCCCTCCCTGTGTCCATGTGTTCTCATTGTTCAACACCCACCTATGAGTGAGAATATGTGGTGTTTAAAGCTGATTCTTATAAAGTTTACCTCCTGCCTCCCAAATCGGAATTTTACAAATTAGATACTCAAATTCCTTCCAAGAGAACTTTTAGAATTATTCAAAGTAAATTATGTTAGTCTAAATTGATCTACATTATGCTTTCAAAAAATAAGCTTAATCTAATTCTAAAAAGGCAACTAAATATAGCTTATCCATTTTAGAATTAATTTAAAATTCTGAGTGCACCAAACTTACTATACTTCTTTAGAGACAGATGGTTTGTCACATAAAAACAGTTGAAATAAAAATTAAAATGTGCACCTTTTTAAAGTGGCTCTATAAAACCATTTACAAAACTTTGTCAGATGCATCACCAAAAGTATAAAACAAAAAGTTAGCTAATGCCCCTTATTTTGTTCAAAAACATCAATGACATAAAGCAACAGCAAAACTTCTTACAAAAACAAGAAGAGCCAGTGGTGTCTGAACATCTGCATTACATCCTTCCCGTCTGCCTGTGGGTACTGAATCAGTGTACCTGTATGAGACCGTTTATGAAGCTCCAAGTTGCTTGGGTGTTTAAAAGGTTTCCCGCATAATTCACACGCGTATTGTCTCTGGGACTGAAGTGTCTGGGACTGGTCCTCCAGTGCTGCCGGGTCTTCGGGCCTCTCCGTCTCACTAATGCAATTATAATTCTCACAACTGACAGGTTCTTCACTTTCTTTTTCTTCAGTACTTTGGCTGCTAGTTTTCTCTAGGGTATTTTCACTAGCAGATTCCACCCTCTTTGTTAAACCATCATCCGACTTGGGTTCAGATGTTTGCTCTGTGACTTTAGGAAATTGAGTTTCTTCAGATGAATGGCCTTTTTGAGCCTCATCTGCTTGACAGGTTGTTGGCATATGGCGTCTGACTCAGGGTCTGGGGCAGAGTCATTCACAGGCTGGGCCAGGAAGTTAGAAGGCAAGTGCTCGGAAGACTCCAGGGTGCATTCGGCATGACTGACAGCACAAGGCTGGCTTTCTATCGTGGTAAGGTCTGCGGAGGTGCTGAAAGCACAAGGCTGCTCAACGACTCGCTCCTGACTGGGACAAGCTGCGTGTTTATGGTACTGCTTACTGTAAAAGTTTCTGAGTTTGTAATAGTGACTTGGCTGTTTGAAAGGCAGTTCTGTGCAGGTGCCGTCTGAAGTATCAGGGGCTTGTTTTGCTATTTCACCTGTGGAGTGATGAAGGTTCACTGAGGGTGAAGCATGTGAATGCGATTCATCCAACCCTTTATTATGCTGTGTGTCTGCCGAACATTCTGGCAGTAAGTGAGGAGAGTAGGTGTTTTCACTGTTAACACAAGTGGCATCGGGGGTCAGGGTGCTTTGCAGAGACAACGTACTGTTACTAGGCATGCCAGGTGGCTGTTCTACAGTGGCTGATTTTAAAAATGTGTGACACAGACTCAGAACATTTTGAACTTGCAAACACTGTGCTGTGTCCAGCATTACTTGTATATTGTCCTGGTTAAGCTCTAGATGAGAAGTATACATGAAGTCCAGGATCTGCCCTATGCCACTGACATTTTTAATATTCAAGTGAAAGACATCATTCTTCTGGCTTGAAGAATTCTGAAAGAGGCTCCTGATAAAAGAAAGAATATCTGTTTACAGTGTCAAAAATTCATACCATCTTTTTCTTATAAATAACATTCATATATTAATATTAAAAAATACTATCCTATGAATGTCAAGACTTTTAACACAAGTACATTTTAATCCTTTAAAATAATTTAGCAAACCATCCAACTAAATAATTCAGATGAATTAAATTAGTGGATTGAGTATTCAAACTTCAAATATATCTCAAAGTAAATTTTTGGAATATACTCAATTTTACAAATTAAAAAAAAATTACATATAGTAATATGACTGATAAACCATGAATCAAGAAGATTCTAAGATAATTCCCAATATGACCTACTTAAGAAATAAAAGTTTGCTCTAAATAGTTTTCAAAATGTAATTATCTTGCTCTAAATAGTTTTCAAAATGTAATTATCCATATACGTTAATTATATACCAATAGAGTACACAAAACTAAAGAATATACTGTTTTCCATATTTCATAGTCTGACAAGTATTATATTTCAGGCCACAAACCATATAAACAAATATTTCTACATCCAAGTGCCTAGAAAATTTAAAATAAAATAAAAATAGCTAGAATAAACCAACCCTCCACATACATTCTTTGTAACCAGTAATTTTTTTGGCTGTTAGGTTTTTCAGCAACCCAGGGGTTCAAAAACCAACAGTAAGAAAAACCCTATGAGTTAATGAAGAATAAAAGGCACTCTAAAGCCCAGGCACTTTATTCTGGATATAAGCCACGGTCACAGGTGAACAAATTTGTATTATGTATGAAATAATAAGCTCAGGTATGTAAATTGAAAACATTTTGTCAAATACAGTCACCTATTTCCCCTAAACAGCCTTCAGTTCTGTTTCTAAGTGGAAAACAGCCTGATATCACAATATCAAATTTTAATTGTCCTGGGAAGACAGAAAAAACAGGTGATAGCAAACTCAAGAGTTTGGGACCATTTTGCACAGGAAAAAAACCTGCTACCTACCTCAAGAAGCTGATGCACTACAATGTGTAATGTGGCCTATACAATAACTGAGACTTAATTTGATGATTCAGGATTCTCAAGGAAAGAGCAAATCATGTCCCACGTTGTCTACTAGAGCAGTAAAACCGTATGCATTTTGGAAACAAAAAGTACTTTAAAAAAGAGACTTTGTATGTAAAGATAGATAAATCTGCTAACTACAAAATGAACTTATGCAGAATCACTTAACTCTAACATTTTTTTTTTTTTTAAGAGACAGAGTCTTGCTCTGTTGCTCAGGCTGGAGTACAGTGGCACGACCACGGCTCACTGCAGCCTCCATCTCCTGGGATCCTTCCATCTCAGCCTCCTGAGTAGCTGGGAATACAGAATAATATTTAAATAAGCTGAAAAACAACTTCTTGGTATTATTTTTTATAAATAAATATTTCATATAAGCCAAAATGATTATAAAGTTTTTGTAGAATATTCCAATGAGAAACAAAAGCTAAAATGCTTTAATTAAGAAAAAAAAGAAAAGAAAAACACAATACACAGAATATGTTTTTCCCTCTCTGATTTCTTATCACAGAAAAATTCTAACCAAGAACTTAATTCCTCCACCATTTTATGTTGAAAGGATGGGAAATATATGTAGAAGACTGACAACCAGAATTATTAAAATGGAAGACAAAGAACCAAAATACTTTCAATCATCCCAAATTCATTTTCATTAAGAGCCTCTTTTCTTTTCAGGTTACTCTAAACACAAAAGCAAAAATAATAAACATGATTAACAAACTTAAAAATTAAAACAAAAAACTCTTACAAAATCCAATGTGTTATGAAAAGATAAAGATAGTGAAACCTAAGGAGAACAAAATATGGTCAAAATACTTCCATACTAGAAGAGCTTTACCCTCAATTCACAGCTGGGAGAATGAAGTCTAAAATACCTACCTAAAATACTGGCTGAATGCTGCTAGCACATTCTTATGTGCTTTAAAGCAGACTCCTTTTACCACCAACATACAGTCACAAAGCAGGCCTTGGATTCGCTGCTCATGCAGTTGCTGGAGGAGATGGCAGCTGTGGGTAGCAACTGGGTCCATGCTCAACCATTCAAGAGACCTACAGCAAAAAATCACAAATACGACAGATATTCTCAAGGACCTCACTGGAAACTAAATGGCATTGAAAATCACTGATTGATCTGTGCTTCACTCTCCCATTATAGTTTCACACATACACATGTGCATGCACACGCGCACACACACACACACACACACACACACACCTCTGTTTCTAAGGCATCTAGACCAGTGCTGTTCAACAGAATTATCTGTCATAATGGAAATGATCTCTATCTGCACTGCTCAATACAGTAGCCATTGGCTACATGGCCACTGAGCACTTAAAATGTGGCTGAGGGACTGAAATTCTAATTTAATTTATATTTTAAAAGTCACAACATTGGCTGGGCGCAGTGGCTCACGCCTGTAATCCTAGCACTTTGGTAGGCCGAGGTGGGTGGATCACCTGAGGTCAGGAGTTCAAGATCAGCCTGGCCATCATGGTGAAACCCTATCTTTTTTTATATTAAAAAATAAAAATTTTAAAAAGCCACAATATTTAAACAGTACAAATCTAGAATAGGACCATGCCAATACTATATGTACTTCTCTTGTGTCTACTAAGGAATGTATCAAATGAAAAATAATATACACATATATAAAGAAGTATAAGGTGACAGAAAAGCCAGCTGGCTGAGATCAAATCCATATTTATCCAACATGTATTCACAGGTCACTGAATCAGAAGTTGGGAAAATCAGGAGCCTACTTTGGGAGATAAGGTACAGGTCAAAATACCTACCACCATCAGAAATGATATAAGAGGCATCACAAAGCAGCAGGTCTCCTCACTCGTGCCTTTGTGCTTCTCTAAGGCACTACTTGAGCAGACGCCTGAAGGAAGGGAAGGAGTTGTGCAGGCACCTGGGCCAGAGAGAACAGCAAGCCCCAAGTCTCCGAGGCAGGAGCTTGCTGGGCTCAGGTGTGGCTGAGTGAGTGGTAGGAGACAACATACTAGAGGGGACACATGCCCAGCCTTGCAGGCCCTGTTACAAACCCTGACTCTGACCCCAAATGAGATGGGACGCTGGAAGTTTCACCATTCAGCATCTAGTCATCAACTGACTACTGTGTGCCAGGCTCTAGGGCTACAATAATGCATCAACCTCTCCAGGCCGCCACTCTCATGCAGTTTAAACTGTAGTGAGGTAAACACACACACAAAAGTGCATGACACACGACTAAACAAAATAGTTAAGAGCTAGACACTGAACACTCAGACCAGTAAGCTATGGTCTCGGGTGCCTAGGAGCGCAGTCTAGAAGGGGATGATTTATGGAAGAGAAATAGTCAGAAGAAATGGAGTCAGATTGGGACAAGATTATGAAGTTAAGGTGGCAGTCTTCGCTGGGCATGGTGATTCACACTTGTAATTCCAACACTTTGGGAGGTTGAGGCAGGAGGATCATTTGAGTACAGGAGATCAGTCTAGCAACATAGTGAGACCCTGTCTCTATGAAAAATAAAAACAAAAATTAGCTGGGCATGGTGGCACATGCCTGTAGTCCCAGCTACTTGAGGGGTTGAGGTGGGAGGATTACTTGAGCCCAGGAGGTTGAGGCTGTAGTAAGCCATGATCACATCACTGCCCTCCAGTCTGGGTGACAGAGAGAGACCCCATCTCAAAAAAA